GCTGTGTGTGAATTTGAAACCACTAAGGTGTACACCAAATCTTGGCCACCACACGTCCCACCTCCAGACCCCTGAGTCATAGAACTGCAAACTGGAAGAACTAGGGATTCTTTGTTTGGTTTGGTTTGTTTTCTGAGACAGGGTTTCTCTGTGTAGTTTTGGTGCCTGTCCTGGAACTCACTCTGTAGACCAGGTTGGCCTCGAACTCACAGAGCTCCACCTGCCTCTGCCTCCTGAGTGCTGGGATTAAAGGTGTGAGCCACTGTGCCCACAGCTGCATTTAGGGATTCTAAAGCAGGTTCTGTTTTGTGTTGTGACACAGAGTCCCATATGGACGGGGCTGGCTTCAAGCTTACGGTGGAATCCAGAACAATCTGGAACCAGGATTATTAAACAGATGCATCATCATGCCTGCTCTGTGTGTGTGTGTGTGTGTGTGTGTGTGTGTGTGTGTGTGTGTGTGTGTGTGTCTGTGTGTGTTTTCTTTTTTGGTTTTTTTTTTGAGACAGGGTCTCTCTTCATAGCCCTAACTGTCTTGGAACTCACTATGTCAACCAGGCTGGCCTTGAACTCACAGAGATACACCTGTCTCTGCCTCTAGAGTGCTGGGATTAAAGGTGTGCACCACCATGCCAGGCCCGTGCCTGGTTTTATGTGGTATTGGCTGGGCAAGCAGGCTACCAGTTGAGCTACTTCCCCAATCCCTTCTTTTGTTTTGGTGGTTCGGCTTAAAGCCATAGCCTCATAGGCGCTGAGCTATGTGATTATTTTGTCTTCCTGGTGAGGATACTGAGGCAGGGTGGGGCTGCGGGTGCCTTTGGGAGTGGCTGGCCTCAACAATCCCCTCAACTTGTGTCCAGTATCCAGAGCTGTTCCCTAGCTGCATTTCACTGTTTCTCTTTTCTCTTGTAGACGGAGTCCATAGCTGGTGAGGCCACTGAGCAGGGCAAGGCCGGGCCCTGCCCGAAAGGACGCCAGAGTCCTTCACCGGCCCCTGTGCCCCAGAGCCCACCAGGCTCTCCTGCTGGCCCCACCATGACATCTGAGCCTACATCACCCCCAGTGGTCCCACCTCTCCATTCCCCCAAGTCTCCTGTCTGGCCCACGTTCCCCTTCCACAGGGAGGGCAGCAGGATCTGGGAACGTGGTGGTGGGATTGCTCCTCGGGACCTGCCCAGCCCTCTGCCCACCAAAAGGACCAGGACATACTCAGCGTGAGTACCTTTGCCTCCCCTAGGTCCTATGAACTTTCTCCAGGCCAGGGCCAAGGCTTCCTGTCCTCCCAGGAAGCTGTGCCATCTTGCAGTGACTTCAGAGTCCCTTCACTCACTCCTTCCTTCCAGTTACTGAGCTGTGACTGGAGCTTAAGGGATGAATGAATAAGCCATGTCTTCAGTTCAGAGGGGTTTTGAACACTAGGTAAGGACTTAGCCTGGGGTGCAGTGAATGAGGACATCCTAGCTGAGTTTGAAGATTCATCAGGTGAAAGGGACTTGAGATACAGAGCCTAGAGATACACAGTGAGACCGTCTCAAGAATAAAATAAAATGGACTTAAGTGTTGCAGGAAGAATGCCACACAGTGAACCTTTAGGGAGGGTAGTGGATTGCCAGGGACTAGCCTCGGGCCTCTGGGGAGGTGACTGTATGAGGCCAGATGGGGAGGGTTTGTGGGAGCCAAAGGGCTTTACATTTATTATTGTTGGTGGTGTGCGTGTGTACCTACCTCAGCCCGTGTGTGTGTGGAGGTCAGAGGACCATGTGTCAGGAGTGGGCTCTCTCCTTCCACCATGTGGGTTCGAGGGTTCAAACTCGGGTGGTCAGTCTTGGCACCAAGTGCATTTTTACCCACTCAGTCATCTCCTCATCTGTTTTTTGTTTTGTTTTGTTTTTGTTTTTGTGTTTTGAGACAGGGCTCTGAACTGCTCTGACTGACTTACTCCAGATTTCTGAATGCTGGGGATTGTAGGCATGCACTCCTGTGCCTGGCTGCAAGGTTTTTATTATCATTACTACTCTGGATAGCAAGTGTGCCCTGTCCTGGGTCTGACCCAAGGTCAGAGCAGATACTTAATAAATAGCACATGAGAACTAGGGACCGGCGCTGCTCAGCTGCCATGAGATGGTGAGGTGCCTCTTGGTCTTAGTTTTTTCTTTAATTAATAATTAATTAATTGGTTCTGAGGATGGAGCCTGAGCCTTACACGCGGCAAGCAAACCATCCACCACTGAACTATACCCCTAGCTTCACTCAGAAATCTTCCAAGTGGAAGCCGTGTAAGTCTAAACATCTGGATGGAGGGTGCTAATAGAGGGGCACTGACAAGGAGCCAGATGTTCTTGTACTACACTGAGAGACACCGGGCAGACTGTCACCCTGCCCTGGGCCCCAGTCTTTGTTATCCGCCCCATGGCAGTATTATTGGGGGGGGGGGTCCAAGAACAGGCTCTCCAGGCCACAGCTCCAATCCCCTACCCTCTCCCCAGGACAGCTCGCGCCTCAGCTGGCCCCGTGTTCAAGGGCGTCTGTAAGCAGTTCTCACGCTCACAAGGCCATGGCTTCATCACCCCCGAGAACGGCTCTGAGGACATCTTCGTGCATGTTTCTGAGTGAGTCCTCTCTACTTCCCTGTTTCTAGTCGGGCCCTGCCCAAGGGTCCAGTCTCACCGGACCCTCCCCTAGCGGCTGAGGTGGGTGTTCCTGCTCTGAGGAGTGCTAAGACAAGGTGGGCTGGGGTCAGTTAGGGATCAGCTGGCAGTCTCCAAAACCCTGGTAGTTACTGCCGAGGCCCTGGGGTCCTATGTTCTCTGACAGCTTAGAAAACGAGGGCTCTGAGAAGTTGGAGGGTCCCTGGTCTAGGGAGGCTAAGGGCCACAGTGCTCTCTGGGGACTGGTCTGCTGATGCAATCCTTCCCCTTCTGTCCACCAGCATCGAGGGGGAGTATGTCCCCGTGGAAGGCGATGAGGTGACCTACAAGATGTGTCCCATCCCACCCAAGAACCAGAAGTTTCAGGCCGTAGAGGTGGTGCTCACCCAGTTGGCCCCCCACACTCCCCACGAGACGTGGTCTGGCCAGGTTGTGGGATCCTAGGCAGGTGGGGGGGGTATCCCCACGTGGAGGCAGGCAGCAGCCAGCTCTGTGCTCCCAGTGTGCCGCTGACCAGCCCTTGGGTGTGCTCGTTGTCTGTCTGTCCGTGCTTGTGGCCGTGAATGTGTGCTTCTACCCACCTGTGACCCACGACTTGTGTGATCCGGCCTAGGGCTGGATGGAGCACAGCCACCAGTCCTGCCTTGGCCTGTTTCTCCTTCCTCCAACCCTGCCACGGACACACAGGACCTTCTCGCCCTCCTGCCCACCTATCTATACACTGAGTCTCTGTGGGTCTGTGTCGTGTTCCTGAGAACCTAGGGAGACAGACGCCTCTCCTATGAGCCTGTTCCTCATCACTGTCCTCAGACCCACTCAGTTCGGGACCTAGCCCTGTCTGATTGTGCTCCCGTCTCCTGTGCTGGACCTGGGTGTCTGCTCTGGCCTGGACCCTTCCTTTGAGGAGCCAGGCCTCTGAGCGCTTTGTAGGGGCCTCCAACTTTAGGAAGAGGGCAAAACACCGAGGTTCACGGCCAGCCCCTGCCATAACCTAGCTCATCTTCTGGACCCCATCCTTTTGGTGCCCTGGAGAGAACAGAGCCAAGAGCAAGAGGGAACGTAGGTGCTCCTGTTGTAGATCAGTCCTCTCTCCTCAGGCAGCAGAGGCTCTTTGGAATCCCACGGACCTAGGTTCCTTCCCGAGCTGGGGGAGCCAAGCTCATTCTCTCCCTAAGGTGAGCTAGGGACATGGTTTCCTCCAGCTCGGGCAGGACCATCTTTTCCATCGTGATGCACAAACTCTGTGGATACCCTGCCCAGTGCTGGCCATGACAGCGGCGGAGGATGCAGTGACGGACTGACATGTCACCTCAGGCAAGGCCAGGTCCAGGCACCCATAAGAATGGTCCTCAGCCAGGGAGACCACTGGCCTTGCCCTCCGCCCCTGCCACCCCCAATTAGACCCTCTTCCCAAAGCTATACAATGGCTCCTATAGATCCCTGACAGGTCAGAAGCTGAGCTGGCTCTTATCTCACCCATTCCTCAAGTGTGACTGTCCCTCTGACCTGGAGTCCCTTTGGGGCTCAGATGTATCCCTTCTAGAGAGCCCATTCCCTACCATGAGGATAAGTGGGATCACAGACTCAAGAAGGGCCTGCTACAACAGTGACCCTGATGAGACCCAGTCTGCAAGTAAAATGTGGGCCTAGATGTCCAGGATGAAGGGGTCAGTGATTGTCTAGGTGGCCTTGTAGTTCCGGGACCACAGGGTAGTTATTTGGGGTGTTTGTACCCCCACCTTGTCCTAGAACCCTTTGCAGAGGCCAGCAGCCTAGAACCTCACACTGGAAAAGATCTATCTACCTGACACCCCACTGTGAACTAGGCTTCTCCAGCAAGGCCTGTCCCTGGAGAACCGTCCTCTGCAAGCACGAGGACCTGAGTTCAAATCCCCAACATGCCTGTAACCCAGCACTGGGTGACAGAGACAGGCAGATCCTTGACAGGGAACTTGTTGGTACAGGTGGGCCCCAGGGCCACCGAGGCCTTCCTCCTGTGAGCAGGTCCTCTCCAGGCATCAGTCTGAGGCCGCCTGACTGGCAAGGGGCACCAGGCCTCCTCTCTACTCTTGGACCCTGCAGGGCCAAGTAAGAAACCTCTCCACCCAGACCCCAGCCACGGACTACCCATTCCTCCTAACACTGGCAATAAACTGAACTGTGACCCACCCTGCCCCTGAGCTGCCTGTGTGTGAGGGTTCTTGGGGAAGGGGCTAAGGAAGGAAACGACATGTGTCTGGGGCTCCAATGGATCAAAGACTTCCTGGAGCAAGCCCCTGTCCCTATGTTTCCTAGTCTGAAAGTGTGGCCCTAAGAGCATGTGACAGGAACTACCACATCTTCAGACACATCTAACACGCCTTGTCTTGGAACTTTAATATCTGTGACAGTCCTTGGGTAGTGCCCCTTCCCTGTGCCACTCTGCCCCTTGGCAGGCTGTGGCCAGCAGACTCCATAGCATAACTCACATGCTTCCCTCTGGGGTGCAACCTGCGCTGTCCCAAGACCAGCAGCGTCAGAGTCCAGGGCCATCAGTGGAGTGCAGGAATAAGTCTTATCAGGAGCCACCTGGCTGGGGACAGCTGCCACACAGACCCTGGTTCTGTGTGGGTGGGCCTGTGGCGTCCCATATGATGCTACATGCTGGCCCAGAAGGGGAACCCCGGCACCTCATGGTTCCCTCTTCAGGTCTGGCCAGAGCTCTTTGAAGGTCCCAATGCTCAGCTGTGGTCACTGTCACGCCTCGTGGGCTGTCTCTGGGAAGAAAAGTTCTCGGCATCGTTGTACAGTATCCTGAGGGGAGACCACACTATGGCCGACAGTCCGGGGGTCCGCATAGATCTCAAAATCATTCCCACCCTGCATTCAGAGGAAGGACAGAGAAGACATGCTCTCAGGTGGTGCTTACAGGGCAGGATTACAGGTGCTTACAGGGACTGAGACCCAAGAGCCACCCTTCCCATACTGGCTCCTGCAGACCTGCCAGGAATCCCTCCACCCTGGCTTCTCAGACCTGCCCTGACTTGCTGTATAATGTGGAACACGTGTCTAGCCCTCTTTGGGCCTTAGTCTTCTGAACTGTAGAGTGGGAACACTGAGTGTCTTCTGGGAGGCCCCTGAGAGGTCTGTTCTATTGCCCCGGGTCCTGACCTTAGCCTCAGGTGCTTTGGGTTGAGGGGAACTGGGCAGGGCCACACTCACAGGACTGGTCTCATTCCCAAAGAAGTGGATGATGTCAAAGCTGTCCTCATCCAGGCTGTCGAGGCAGTAGCGCTTATCCCAGCCCTCGGGGAAGACATCGAAGCTTATCATGCCTCCTGTGGATGATGTGGGGGTTATGACAAAATCCTGGGCGGGACAGACCAAGGCTGGCAACTTCTCAGGGAAGCTCACAAGGCTTTGTACTATGGAGCCAAGGATGGCCTTGAACTCCCCATCTTCCCGTTGGGTTTATACATGTGTGGTACCATGCCTGGCTCTAAGGCACTTTTTTCATCCAACAACCCTGAGAGCCACCAAGGGCGGACTGGCGAGGCGATCTGCGGGGTCTCATCTAGGCAGCCAAACAGGCAGGAGTGAAGGCGGGCCCACTCAGCCGGCATCCAGGGAGACCCAAGGTGGCAGTAAGCTGGGACACAAGCCACAGTGGGGGTACCTAGGGGACACTGAGCAGCAGGGTGACGCAAATGTCGGTTCTAAGTGACCATGGCATCTGTTCTCCCCTCTGGCTACTGGGGAACAAGCCGAGATGGCAGCTGGGAGACCAGATGTCCCAGGAGCCTCAGGGGAGCAGCTGGTGGCAGGGGTTGAGAAGCGTCAGCTTTGGAAAGATTTGCAGAGCCCTCGACTTCCTGGCCAGTTGGACTGAGCACGGGAAGGGTGGGGACCACGCAACATCGGGTGGTCATTGAACAAGGTGGGCAAAACTGGCACAGGTAAATAGCGTCCCCTGCTGTGCCTGAGCCCGCCACAGCAAAGACATACCTCGGGAGAACCTCAGCCCCTTGCCAGCAAACTCTGTCTTCAGGGCTTCCACAAACTTCTCCCGGATCTTCTCCTTCTGTACAGGAAAGAGTGCATATTGGCTCAGGGGGCCTTCTGTATACCATGCCTGTAACCCCCACCAGCTCCCTGGTTTACTGGTTGAATATGGCCACCACTTTACAGATGGGGAAACAGAAGCCCGGCCTCGACGTCAATGCTGGGGTCTAGATCCAGAAATCAGTGACCCCCGTCACCAGGGGTATGGAGGCGTAAGAAGGTGGAGGGCATGGGGGTAGGGTCAGGTCAGGCAGGACCCACCCTGGGATCTACAGGCTAACTGGGTTCTAGGCCTGGTGACTAGGCTGCTTAGCTTTGTGGCCCTAGGCAAGTTACCTGATCTCTCTGAGCCCATTTCCAGAACTAAATGATAGAGAAGAAATTAGTGGCCACTGTCGGCTTTTTCCTACAGGAAAAGCAGAGCTGAGAGATGTGAGCCCCCTGCTGGCCTTTATTTGCCTTCCTAGCTGGTGGTGCGTCCCGGGGAGAGCACTGTGGGTACCCACGCTCTGAGGAAATGTAGCTCAGAGCCCAGCGTTGGGGGGCTACACTCCTCTCCTTTCGAGGGTCGGCTGGTGGTTTGACAGCCTCATGTACCAAGTCCAGCCCTCAAATGTCCAGCTTCATGACTCTAAGCTGCTTTATCTAAGGAAGGCGTCTTGTCACCCCTCCCTGGAGTCTGAAGGAGATTTAAGCACGCACACGCCATTTGGACTGTGTACAGGCACACAGTTCTCAGAAACATCCACACATCCTAATCTCAGGAGAGAGGAGAAAGAACCAGAGATGAGGGAAGGGGCTAGGGATGCCAGCCATATCCCAGCTTCCCCTACTGCTCCAGGCCAGGTTCATTACCTGTTCTCCATGCCCATCCAGTCAGTAAAGCTAGGACTGGAACCCCGAGGAACAGGGAAGGGGCCATCTGGCTGGGATGTTGTCAATGATCAGTCTTAACTATTCCAACAGGAAAAGCCCCTTATTCCTGTGTCCACTGCCTACTATAGACCTCTATGCACTGTGGGAGTGGCACTGTCGAGCCCAATCTCAGGGAAACATCTGGGACCAGTCAGCCAAATCAAAGCGACACTCTGCAACCAACTCCCTAAGTGACCTGGGATGAGAGTCACTTCTCTGAGCCTTGGTTTCCACATCGATACAGATGGGAATAATTCACCTGTTCATTCATTCCAGAGCATTTCAGGGCAGGTAGGCACAGTGGGACACACCTATGATACCAGCCAACAGGAAGTCACAAGTTGGAGGCCAGCACGGTGACACAGTGAGTCTGAGGCCAGTCTGGGCTGCACACTAAGACGACACTGTTTCAAAAAGAAAATGTTTCTTGGGGCGGGGGTGTTGTGGGTGAGTGATAGGGCACGTGCCTAGCATGTATGAGGCCCTGGGACCCCCATACACTACCCAGGACCACAGGTCTCTGCACAGGACATAGAAGGGGGGGTGGGGCTGAGTGTGATAGGAGTAGTGAGGGTGGAGAAGAGGACAAGCCTGGTCTAGGGTGGTGTGCTCCCGGCAGAAGGCCCAGGGCTGAAGCGGGAAATGGCCATCTCTAGAATAAGCAGAAGCCATGGCTGAAGCAGGAAATGGCCATCTCTAGAATAAGCAGAAGCCATGGCTGCAATGGAGAGCAAGGGAAGAGCAGCTGGCGGAGTCGGAGTGAGAGCATGGATGAGGAGCACGGATGGATGAACTCACGCCACCCCTGAATGCCCGGTAATGTTTAGGGAGGCAGTGTACACGCTGAATGAGGTGGCACACTCTTGTAACCCCAGCATTTGAGAAGCTAAGGGAGATCACAAGTTCAAGATCAACCTGGGCAAATACCAACAAAAAGAAACAAAAGCTGGCCGGGTAGGGGACGGCAGCACACGCCTTTAATCCCAGCCCTCGGGAGGCAGAGCCAGGCAGATCTCTGTGAGTTCGAGGCCAGCCTGAGCTACAGAGTGAGATCCCAGGACAGGCGCCAAAACTACATGGAGAAACCCAGTCTCGAAAACCAAAAAACATAAAACAAAAATCTGGCATTTAAGAGAACTTGGTGTGTTCTGGATGCAAGTGAAAACAGGACAATTGGAGACAGAAGGCTGAAAGGGTGAGCTGGAGGAGAGCAGACAGATGCCTCGGGCTGTGAGAGGTGCCTGAGACGCTGTCCAGCCGGCACTGGGGAGCCACAGAAGGCTTGTCACTGGGGAGATACAGGCAGATGTGTTTTAAAGGTTCTTAAAGGCATGCTGGAAGGCAGAGGGGACAGAGGACAAAGGAAGGGACTTGGTGACCTGGAGGAGACAAGCTAGCCTGTGAGGACAAGAAGATGGGAGCCTAGAGTTGTTGGCTCTGGTGTGGGTAGGAATGTGGCAACGATACCGAGGCCATAGTGTGGGTCACTAGGGGCTGGTGGCCACAGGTCACAAGGAAAGGAGACCAGCAGGGACAGAAAGAGGCTGGTGTGCCTGCAGAAATGACACACAGACAGTGCCCAAGTTTGAACTCAAAACTCCTCCTCAAAACCCGTTTTACTGATGAGAAAGCAAAGCCCAGAGTGTTGAGTGACAGGGCCTGTGGGCCTGTAGCTGCTCAGCAAACGGCACCTTGTCCAGCTCAGAGAACTCGATCCTCTCCTCCAGGGTGCAGCTGCGGCCGATGGGGGAGATGTTCAGCATGCCATTCCGGAACTCAATGAAGGTTCCACTGGGGGTGATGAAGAAAAGGCGTGAGAGAGCAAGAAGCCATGGGCAGGAGGGAGAAGAGCTCTGAGTTCAAATCCTGTCCTAGCTAGAACCAGCCTCCTTGGACTTCACAGGGTATCAGAATCTACCCATGCACAAGTTAGGGTCCTGGACCTGGGGGTGTAGCTCATTGTTAGAATGCTTGCCCGGCATGGGCAAGGTTCCTGGGTTCTAACCCCAGTTGCAAAAAAAAGAAAAAAAAAAAATCCAGGGGCTCCATGTGAGGGACTCCCACTCTCTTCCCCCAAGCCCAGCTCAGTGGGGGCCTCACCGCTTCTTGGGCAGCCTGAGCAGAGCCATGTAGCTGAGACAGAAGTTGATCAGGTCCTGCAGTAGCTCCTCCCCCAGATGGTTCTGGATCGTCTGTGTAAGCAACACAAGGCTCGCACTGTGGCACACACAAGACAGAAGGGACCAGCTTGGGAAAGCGGGGAGCCCCGGCTAAGGCCTGTGCCACTGACCTGCTTGGAGAGTAGTCGTCCATGCTTGTACTGCACTGTCCCGTTCTCGGCAAACACATAATCAAACTTCTCAATGACTTGGGACCCATGGAGAAGTCGGAGAGAAAGAAAGAGCATGAGACAAGGACCCTCACGTGGAGACACTGTCACCCCAGAGCAAGCCCTGGGGACGATGCCCGTGCTTGGTTTGGCAGGCTTCACCCACTTTTCTACCCTAAACCGGCTTTTCTGGCATCCTTTCCTTCTGAACCTTCGTCTTCTACGCCAGCCAGTCACTCCTCTAGGCCATTGCTCAGGTCCTTTGCTCAGGTAGGACCCTCAGCCTGAACCCGCCCCTAGTGTCTCCTCCACTCATCCTCCAAGATCCAGCTCCCTCTTCTGGAAGACTTCCCAGAAATGCCCAGGAGAGGGCGCCATTTCCACCCTGCTCCCTCAGCCCTCCCCCATGAAGACTTCATTCTCCTTCCTAAAGTCTCCCTCTCTGTTGCCCACGGGATTGCACAGCAGTTTCCAGCTCTGAGTGCTAAAGAAGCAGTTGGGAGTCTGGGAGCCTGGCTAGGATGCTCTGCAGCATCCGGGTGGTAGATGATCACGGGGCTATGGGGTGTGGTAGAAAGGGAGGCATGGACAGATGGCATAGAGAGTTTGGACTTGCTAGAGAACAAATGAGGAGGGACAAGGGGAAAAAGATGGATCTCCAAGTTACTTCAGTTTTCACTATCACAAACAAGATAATCAGCTGGGTGTGTTGGCACATGCCTTTGATCTGAGCACTCCAGGCAGAGGCAATCAGATCTCTGTGAGTTTAAGGCCAGCCTGGTCTACAAAGCAAGTTCCAGGACAGTCAGGGCTGTTACACCCTGTCTGGAAAAACTCAAAACCAAAACCAAACAAACAATAAAAATAAAAACAAAGCTGGGCGGTGGTGGTGTACACCTTTAATCCCAGCACTCAAGAGGCAGAAGCAGGCCAATCTCTGTGAGTTCCAGGACAGACAGCCAGGGCTGTTTCACAGAGAAACCCTGTATCGAAAAACAAAAAAGATTAAGAAGCAATAAATAAATAAATGGAAACCAGACTCATCAGGGAGCAAGGAGAATGTGTATCACCTAAGGGCAGGACGGCTGCCCACTCTGCTTCTAGCTGTCTCTCCAGAAGCTAGCACACTGGCTACTAACAGGTACTCACGAAATGTCTGTTAAGGGTGGAGCCCCCTGGCTGCTCCTTCCTCACCTCTTCTGCCCCACAGAAGCAGGGACAGGTACCCACATCTCCCGGCTCCATGCTCCTTCCACTCCACCCCAACCCCAAATGGAAAAGGGGTCGCCCAGGCCTACCTTCATCCCCATCACCCAGCTGCTCAGCGATCTTTGAGTAGTCAGAACCACCCACCACGCCAATCTGCACCCTACTCCGGAGCTTCTGCAGGAAGGCTGATACCTCAGGGTCAATTTTCTGTTGGGGGACAGGAAGGACAAAAGGACTCTGGTTATCGAAAGTCCAGGACCTCAAACCAGGCGGTGGTGGTGCATGCCTTTAATCCCAGCACTCAGGAGGCAGAGGCAGGCAAACTCTCTTGAGTTTGAGGCCAGCTTGGTCTACATAGCAAGTTCCAAGCCAGTCGGAGCTACACAGAGAGGCCCTGTCTCAAAACAACAACAACAACAACAACAACAACAACAACAACAACAACGTCGTCTGGGACCTCTACTTGGCTCTTAGGGCTCAGAATCAGGGAGCCCACCTTCCATGTGACTCTGAGCACCCCTAGTTAAAAAGCCAGAACTATAAAATGCAGAACTGCTTGAGCACTAACATAATTCCACAGGTGACCTCAAGGGAAGTGTTGCAACTGAAACAGAAACACACTACAAATACTGCACAGAGCACTCAGGAGGCAGAAGCAGGTGGATCTCTGTGAGTTCGAGGCCAGCTCGGTCTACAGAGTTGCAGGACAGGCTCCAAAGCTACACAGAGAAACTTTGTCTCGAAAACAACAAGACAAAAATATTGCACAGAATAGGGCTGGGATGTATCCTTATGGTAGATCACTTGTCTAAAATGCATGTGGGCTTGGGTTTGAAAAGAAAGGTATGTAAACTAAACAAAACACATATATAACATCCAATGAGTGGGCCTGGTGAGTGGAGGATCCTGCCTTGAGGCCCTAACGACCTGAGTTCAATCCCAGAGCTCCACGCCCTCAATGAGGCACATGTGTGTCCTGTTACACACATGCACACAAAATATACAAATAAAACGTAAAACAAACAAAATGCTACAATAGGCTGTCCTCAGAGTAGAACATGGTAAAGCCAGATGTGATGACACACACTTGTAATTCCAACACAGAAGATTAGTTCAAAGAGTGTTTGCTTTGTCTTTACGATAGTGAAGCTGTCTCTAGGCTGTTTATCAGTTATATATAAACACAAATGAGCAGGGTGCCTTTAACCCCAGCACTCGGGAGGCAGAGGCAGGACTAAACAGAGAAACCCTGTCTTGAAACACTAAAAAAAAAAAAAAAAAGAAAAGAAAAAGAACCCCCCCAAACCCAAAAAAACACAAATGAACTTTGTGTTTACAAGTGGGTCCTACTGCCATGATAACTCATGCATATGCTCAGAATCTGAAAAATATCCAAAACCACAACATTTCTGGTTGCAAATCTTTGAAATAAAAGATTCTTCACCTGCACAAGGCAGGAACCCCAGAAGTTCCCCCTGCTAAGCTCTGGCTCAGGTAACTGAGCAAAAGGCTCTGCCTTTCTTTGCCTCATTTCCCTTTTATAACATGTCTGCCACAGCAGGAGCCCCTTTAAGGGGATCACAGTTACCACTGGGTGAAAGAATCGTTTAAAGTGTATACAGATTCTTCACTCAGGAAATCCGAACAACTGAGTCAGAATTCAAACTTCCATATATTCAGATTATCAAAGACCATCGCTGGAGACAATGGTAGGGGTATCAGGAACTCCCAAGTGCCATCCGTCCGTCCGTGAAAGTATGTTGGTACAATTGTTTTGGAAGGCAATTAGGCGGGACCCACTGAAACTTAAAATGTCCATAACCTGTCAAACAGCATGTCAATTCTCTTGCCGAAGGCACATACAGCAGTTCCTTGGGGTTTATAATAGAGAAAAGCGCAAACAACTCCCATGCTTATCGGCCGGACAATGACACACGCTTCCTCGGAAATATTACCAGGCAGGGGTACATAAGATAAGGCCAGATCTGTGCTTCCAGCAAGCAAGGCCCTAAAACTTGCTGTTAACTGTCTGAAGCAAGGTGTAGGTAGTCACAAGCAGGGTAATGCCGAGTCAGTAACCGCCTCACAAAATAACATCTAATATTTCCTGTGGGCAGAGAGATCCAGATAAAAGCACCAGGGGAGCCATACTACCCAGACAATATTACCTAGGGGCGGGGGCGGGTGGGGGGGGGGCTGGCCCTAGGATACTGGTGAGGTCAAAGTGGTCTTTAGCCTTTAATGTTTGCATTCTTTACAAAAATAATGCACTTGCGAACACACATATAATTAAAAATTAACGGCCAAGCAGTAAACAAATTGGCAGGAAGTTTTTGTCCAGGCCTTGCCAAGTCAGGGCAGCACAGGGTCAGGAGAGGCGTGCCTAGGGCAGGACCACCCTCTGTCCAATCAACCCTGGCATCTTCATTCCTGATCCATCCCTGCTGGAAAGAAAGGTGGCTGATTCCTCCTGCAGATGGGAAGGGCTATCGGGAGGCTAAGACTTGGGTTCCCACCAGCTTCTGCTCTGGAAGCATTTTCAGGTCATCCCCGTTGTCCCCCTAAGAGAAAGCGGACTACTTGAAGGATGGGCAGGAACGACCCAGGGTGAGTCAAAGGGAGAAAAATTTAGGATGAGCGAAGATCGGAGGTTGAACCATTAAAGCACAGATAGAAAACACACTCCCACTCTCACTGTGACTCAGTGACCCTCTTGTAACCAGAGTAGCCCTGGGGCCTCTCACTCCACATGGGTGGGCCAAAACGACACCACCAACAAAAGACAAAACTCATCAGAAAAGCAGCTCTCCCTCCCACCTGAGGCGGAAGGTAAAACCCTTAAGAGGCTTAAACTAAACCCCGGCTTCGGCCTGTGGACGCCAGGGTGGAACGGTTCGAAGACCTTTCTTGCCCTCACTAGAGGGCGACCGTGGGCTTGGAAGCGCACCGAGCTCCGCCTGAACACGGCGTTCTTCTGCTGGCTAGAGGACTGACGAGTTGTGCATCCTAGGGCTGAAATAGGGTGGGAGCATCCCAGAGCCCAGCCTGGGCCTGTGGAAGCCTTGGGCCCGGGACACAGACGCTCCTCCCAGGACTGGATCCGATCTCTGCGCTCCCGGGAAGAACCGGGCGGGGGGCGCCCACCCGCGGAGCGCTGTGGCCGGGAAGGCCCGGAGGGCCTGGCTCCCATCTCCTCGGTGACAGGAGCCGGTACCACTGCGTTCCACATTCCACACCGGGTGGCGTGGGTGCCCGGGATCACGTGGCTGCCCGCTCCACGCCGGATCACGGATGTCCGCGTGACACCCGGCGGGAGCCGCCAAACCTCGGGGCCCCTTACCTGGCGAGCTGGCGTGAGGGTCCCGTCCACGTCAAACAGGCAGAGGATGCGCTCTTTCCTGCGGGCGCCCTCGACGGCGACAGCCATGGCTGCAACTCGGCGCGCCAAGCGCTGTCGCCGCAGCGGCCGCCGGGGTCGCGCGCGCGGCAGAGGTCGGGCGGGGCCGGGGCGGGGCCGGGGCGGGGCCAGCTGTGCGGCACGGGGAGGAGCAGCGGGCCCCGGTCCTCCCTCGAGGGAGCCGGGCCTGCGCCGCCGAGAGCGGACTCCAGGCACCTAGGATGGGGGGCGTGGCGATGGGCGGAGTCAGAGCGCTCTCCGCGCGGACCGAGACAGGAACCGGCGGGAAACGGGGTGGAACCGGAAGGCAGTGGCGGGCCAGGATTGGACTTTAGCTGGTTGGGGCTGGTTGCAAGGGCGCTCCCTACGGGGGTGGGGAGGCGAGGGCGAGGCTCAGAGCCCAGCGGCTCGCGGTTCCCAAGGTTTATGGGGCAAAGGGATTGCCCTGTAAGTCCCGAGCTTGAAGAGCTCTCGGGGAGGTGCGGGGGGGGGGGGGGGGGGGGGGGGGGGGGACCTGGTGCCCTGGCTCACCTGTAATCCAGCACTTGGGAGGCAGAGACCGCGTGCGCCGCCACTGCCAGCGGTTATTCTTAGTTATATTTTTGTTTATGTATGTACTGTGTGTGGGCACATGAATGAAACAGCACATGTGTGTGTGTGGGGGGTGTCAGAGGGCAATTTACAAAAGCCGCTTCTCTTCCTCCACCGTGTAGATCCCATAAATTGAACTCGGAGCGTTAGGTTTCGCACAGGTGCCTTTACCATTGAGCCATGTCAGTGGATGAGGCTCGCTAATTGCGCTTGATACAGGCTTGAGCATGAGGGTTAAGAAAAAGAGAGGAGCCAGGCGGTGGTGGTGCACGACTTTAATCCCAGCACTTGCGAGGCAGAGGCAGGAGGATCTCTAGTGTGAGTTCGAGGCCAGCCTGGTCTACAGAGCGAGTTCCAGGACAGCCAGGGCTACCCAGATAAACCCTGTTTCGAAAACAACAACAACAAAACCCAAAATCAACAAAAGAAGAAAGAAAAAGTAGAGAGGAGCTCAGAAGACAGTAACACACACCCAAGAGGTCTCAAAGAAGGGTCACAGAAAGGAAGACCTAACGCAGTGCCTGTCACGAGGGAGAGTCACAGTTGCTTGTCTTAGCGTGAGCCATATCTGTACCATCTTGATGACTCTCAGATTGGTCTCAAAGTTGTTAAACGCTCTTTCTCTTCTCTCTCTTTTTTTTTTTTTTTTTTTTTTTTTTTTTTTTTTTTTTTGGTTTTTCGAGACAGGGTTTCTCTGTGTAGCTTTGCGCCTTTCCTGGGACTCACTTGGTAGCCCAGGCTGGCCTCGAACTCACAGAGATCCGCCTGGCTCTGCCTCCCGAGTGCTGGGATTAAAGGCGTGCGCCACCACCGCCCGGCTTCTTCTCTCTCTTTTGATGAGAGAGAGAGAGGTAAGGAACCAGAGAGAGAAGGCTCAGTGGCTAAGAGCACTTGCTGCTCTTAGAGAGGACCCGGGTTCAGTTCCCAGTCCCCAGACGGTAGTTCACAACCCTCTGTAATTCCAATTCAGCCAATCTACCGCCCTCTTCTGGCCTCCTCAGACCAGACACTCACAGACGTGCATTTGTGCAGGCAAAGCACAATAAAAATAAATAAAAATAAAATACACATAAAATAAATAAAAATAAAATTTTAAAAGAGAGATATCTCCAGAAGTGCCTCAAGTAGAGTTACAATATAAGGTAAATCCAAAAGGCACAAAAATTGCACAAGGAGTTTAGTGTGTATCCTTTCCTGGTAACTGGGGTCTCTGGTGACTTTCCTAGAAAATTGCAGTATAGCCGGGAAGGAAAAAAAAAAAAAGACGCCTTAAAAGAAGTTGTTGAGGGCTGGAGAGATGGCTCAGAGATTCAAAGCACTGGGTGCTCTTCCAGAGGACCGGAGTTCAATTCCCAGCACCCACATGGCAGCTAACAACTGTCTGTAACAAGTTCCAGTGGATCTAACTCCCTCACACAGACCTACATGCAGGCCAAACACCAATGCACATAAATTTTTTTTTAAAAAGTTGTTGATTTATTACATGAAGAAGTTGTTAGCTGTGTGGAAATTCTTCCCTTTTTACTGGATTCCAACTGGATTCCTAGTGAAGGGTTCCTTTCTTGTCAGGACTTCCTAAGACTCCCTATTCTGCATATTCCCTCCCCTCTAGACTTTGCTCTTTCTTTCTTCCTTCCTTCCTTTCTTCCTTCCTTCCTTTCTTTTTTTGAGATAGGGTCTCTCTATGTAGCCCTAGTTGTCCTGGGACTCATTATGTACACCAAACTACATAGACATCCACCTGCCTCAGCCTTCTAGTGCCTGAATTAAAGGTGTATGCCTCCACGCTGGTTCTCCTCTTTTTTTTTTTTTTTAAAGATTTATTTATTTATTATGTATACAGTATTTTGCCTGCATGCATGCCTGCAGGCCAGAAGAGGGCGCCAGATCTCATTACAGAGGGGTGTGAGTCATCATGTGGTTGCTGGGAATTGAACCCCGGTCCTCTGGAAGAGCAGCCAGTGCTCTTAACCTCTGAGCCATCTCTCCAGCCCCTGGCTCTCCTCTTTTTTTTTTTTTTTTTTTGTGGAGACCATTATACACCAGTTCACTGTGTTGATATCATTCCCACACCTCCTTGTAGCTAGAGTTTTCCTGCCTGGCCCACAGTCAGGGCAAATCTCTCTCACCTGCTAGTCCCACAGCCGCTCAGACCCAACCAAGTAAACACAGAGACTTATATTGATTACAAACTGTATGGCTGTGGCAGGCTTCTTGCTAACTGTTCTTACAGCTTAAATTAATCCATTTCCATAAATCTATACCTTACCACGTGGCTCGTGACTTACCGGCATCTTTACATGCTGTTTCTCATCATGGCGGCTGGCAGTGTCTCTCTGACTCAGCCTTCCACTTCCCAGCTTTATTCTCCTCTTTGCCCCGCCTACACTTCCTGCCTAGCCAATGGCCAATCAGTGTTTTATTTATTGACTAATCAGCAACACATTTGCCATACAGAACATCCCACAGCACCTCCTTCTTTCCCCTCCAACTCTTCTCTTGTCCCACACTCCCTCCTGGATTCATGGCCCTTCTCTTATTCATCTATAATTATAATGTAAATTATTATAAGATCTACTGAGTCCATTTAGTGTCGCTCCTACATGTGTTGAGGGTTGGCTGCTTGGGACCCAATAACCTACCAGGATCTTATTCTTGGAAAAAACGGAGGACAGGGTCTCACTAAGTAGCCCTCACTGGCATGGAACCCACAGAGATATACCTGCCTCTGCCCTCTGGCCTCTGGAGTATCGCCTCTGCCTCTGCGTGGTGAGATTAAAGGTGTGCACCATTATGCCTGGCTTCATTCTGGCCAGAGCCAAGGCCTCCACTTTGTTTCACCTAGGATCCACAGAGCACACCTGGGTGGGCATTTTTACCACTTGGATCGTTCTTGTCTGGGCACCTAGGACCTACTTTGGCAATATGAAACAAAAATTATAGGAGGCCATTGTTTTGACCCAAGTTCCTTCATAGGCCCCTAACAAGACACACTGAAATTTGAAGTGGAAAACTGGAAATAAATTCAGGTTTTCAAAACCTGAGTTTTGGAAAGAAACTGAGAGAAAATTGTAATAGAATCATCTACATTGGATTTTCATGTCAGCAAGCTGAAATCAAGCTTTGTCTGATCTCCAGGAAATGAGTAAGAGAGGTAATAGCTCAGTATCCCAAGTAGGCCAGCTTTAATTGGCACAAATCCTCTATTTTAGTCCTTACACAGAAAAATAGCCTGAAATAACCTGATTTAACCAATCTACTCTTTTACTGTTCTCTCTGTCTCTGCCTTACAAGAAAAGTGTGACAGTTTGAATATGAACGGCCTCAAATAGGCTCATGCATTTGAATGCTTAGACACCAGGGAGCGGAACTGTTTGAGCATTTGAAGCATCAGGGGGCGTGGCCTTATTGGAGGAAGAGTGTCACTCGGGGTGTGTTTTGCGGTTTCAAAAACTCATGCCAGGCTCAGAGTCTGTCTGTCTCTGCTTATGGACCTCTGAAACTGTAAGCAAGCCCAAATTAAATGTTTTCTTTGATATGAGTGGCTGTGGTCATGGCGTCTCTTCATAACAATAGAACGGTGACCAAGACATCTATTGTCATGATGTTCCACACTGCATTGCTTCTAACCAAGGCATTCACTTCACAGCCAGAGAAGTACAAGAGTGAGCCCATGATCATGAGATTCATTGAACTTTTTCTTTTCTTTTTTCTTTTTTTTAGTTTTCAGAGCTTTATTAGGAGGAAAGAGGGGAGAGGAAAGAGAGCCAGGCCTGGAAAGAGAGAAAGATGGTGGGGGTGGAGGGAGCAGAGCAGAGCAGAGAGAGAGCAGAGAGTCATTGGACTTTTTCAAGACAGGGTTTCTCTGTGTAGTTTTGGTGCCTGTCCTGGATCTCACCCTGTAGCCCAGGCTGGCCTCGAACTCACAGAGATCCACCTGGCTCTGCCTCCTGAGTGCTGGGATTAAAGGCATGCACCACCACCGCCCGACGATGGAAAGGCCTTTTGAAGACAGTTACTGCATCAATTAGGAGACAGCATATGCTTTGAATCAGTGTCCAGTATATGGTACTGTTTCTGCCATAGCCAGGATCCATGGGTCTGGCAATCAAGGGGTGGAAAGGGGAGTATTTCCACTTGTTAGCACCCCTAGTGACCCACTAGGAAATTTTTGCTTCCTGTTCCTGTGACCTTAAGTTCTGCTGGCCTAGAAGTTTTGGTTCCAGAGTGGGTAGTGCTCCTGCCAGGAGCCACAACAAACATTCCATTGAACTGGAAGCTCAAACTTCCCCTGGCCGCTTTGGGCTTCTAATGTCCTTATTACTCCAGGCTAAGAAAGGAATAACAGTGTTAGGAAGGATGATTGATCCAAATTACCATAGGAAAATTGGATTGCTTCTCCACAATGGAGGTAAGAAAGACTATGTCTGGAGTGTAGGAGATCCTTTAAGGCATCTTTTTTTTTTTTTTTTGGTTTTTCGAGACAGGGTTTCTCTGTGTAGCTTTGCACCTTTCTTGG